AAATTGACCGAGCCCATGTTGAGAGAGTTAACAAATCTTAAAAGAGAGGATGTGACAGGTGGGTGTGACAAGAGGGGTCTCATTTTCTATTTGATGGCTCTGTAACCAAATAAGATTGAAGGCTATAAAAATTATACTTTGTCTGAGGGATGATGATTTGATAGTGAGTAATTTACTTTAAATTTTGGACTTATAGGAGGGGTGGTGAATAAATTACAGAAGAGGGGATGCCTAGAGAAAATATATATTTCTCACAGTAGGGGAAGTTCAGGATTTTTTGAAAAAAAAACTTTGAAATGCATATAGGAGGTTTTAGGGACTACACAAAGGAAATTTGAGATTTTTGAGATGAGGAAAAAGTATTTTTAATTTTAACATAAAAATTAATTTACACACGGACTATTCAAAACAAATACTCAATGTATTCTTGGACAAATCTTTATTTTATTGTATTAAAAATACTTCACTAAGAAATATGACTTTTTGTATGTGAAAGACTTGTAACATTAACTGAAAGATGGCCAAATTTCATGCAGATATACCAACTATATTGAGAGTTGTAAGTATTAAATCTATAAAGACTTTAAACAAGTACAAAAAGGTCACATGGTTGGTCAAATTGACCGAGCCTTGTATTGAGATTGTTAATAGAGCTGGGTGATTAATGGTATTTGATAATCATTTATTGAGTTCATTAATAAATTACATTCAACTAATTGATTATTCTCCCATGAGACTTAGATAGTTGGGATAATCAGAAATAGTAAGAAACAGAAATACTAATTTAGATAAGTTGATTATTTTTGTGAATTGTGACACTAATTAATGAATTAATCAAAATAATAATGAGAAGCCATAATGGCAATATTTTGATTATTTGGATAGTTGAAATAATTACAAACATTAATAATTGGAAATACTAATTGAGATAAGTTGATTATTTTCATGACATTAAATGGTTAATTGAATTAATCATCCAACTCTATTACTCAATCTTTATTGTTCTGTTACACAACTAGTTACACCTTGCAAATTTTCTTGAATTTTGTGATTGAATCTATAAGTGAGTTTGCATTGAATTGTAAACTTGTGTATACATTTAGATAATTTCCTGACAAAGCTTCCATTATCGAGTCCTCCACTAAAACTTTATAACTCTGTATGGACCACATAGTACCTTTGTGGTGTAGCGTGTACACATGCATGTCAAATTTTATAGTTTGAATAAAAATAGTAATTCTGACTGTTTTAACTATTTTAACTTGAAAATATTTTATAATTGATACTTTATCACTCTTATTTAGTGTTATTTGCAAAGAAAAAATATAAAAAATGTACCAACATTTATTTCTGTGCAGCTCCAAAGAGTCTATCCTATAAACATTGCACTAACAAAATTTTTTTTTAGAATTCTTCTGCTAATCCCAAAGTATTGGATTATAGTTATTAAAGATTTATCATCCATTGAAAATATAATTATCCATGTTCTATTTATCACATGATTTTCATTTTAGTAGTTTTATTACTACAATCCCTACATGCTCACCCATTTATGATGTAACAGCATGTGGTCTGAACAATTACTAATGAAGCATGGCTTTGAAAAAAAAGCTACAGGTGTCATTTAAATATGATTGGATAGAGCAGTTTGTATATTATTCATGTCAGTGTAACCCAGTGGTATGAGCAATAATACACGGTTTTGTGGGAAAGGGACTAGATGCAGCTCCTGCAGAGGTGAACAAAGATTCTAATGGGAAGTTTACAACATTTAGGAACAAACAACTGATTTCAGAATTTTTTTATTGTTTCTTTAAATTATTTTTTCATTCCTGAAAATGTTCATGTTTAATTATATCTGTTTGAAAGCTACAAAAATTGTGTATGATAAGACATCAGGTAAGCTTAGTTGGGTTAAAGGGAGTATGGTAAAATATTCCAACAAATCAGATCCTTATCTGTTGAATGCTATTAAGTTTATTGTAATTGATAAATGCAAGTAAATAAAATAATTTATTATTTATTGAAAAGGAACTATATTTATTAGACATAAACTTATCTCAACCAAGAACACTGTTAGCAAAAATATTGCTACCTAGCCTAACAAAGGTACTGATGTTAACATTTTTAAAGTTCAGAACCTAGGTCACCAATTAATGTTAGCCGTTTTTTGTCATTTTTGTTATGATTTATAGTTGAAAATGATGACTACTGCAAGTAGTAAGATAAAGTATCTAAAGATATATGTTAATGAATATCAAGAGTTAAAACTGATTGGATATATGAAATATAACTGATCAAATCCAGACACAGGATTTTTGTTTGAAAATTATTTTCAAAACTGTGTAATAAAATAATTTGGGGAAATTTCATAACCTAGAAAATGATAGAAGTACTGTTTTAAATCATAAGAAATTTTTAAGCCAAAACTAGATACTGTTTAGTAAATTGTACTCAGTTTCATGCAATTTCATTAGATATTTAACTGAGTGAAGAAAAATAAAACGGTTTATCAGTAATACCACTCTGGTCTGGAAAGAATTAACTGTTTCTTAAGGTTAAAAATTTTTTATTTTTTGTTCAAAGTGAGCTTAAAATGTAAGAAACAATGGTTTTTTATTAATTTCTTGGCTTAATTTATTAACTTCTGTGTATAAAATGCATAAAGCAAGGGTACTGTATTAGCTATTTCTATAATGTATAAAATATAAGCAAGGTTTTTTTTTATTAGCTTCTTAGTTTTATGGATAACATTTATGCAAAGGTATTATTTGAGCTTCTTGCTTTCATGGATAAAGTGAAAGCAAAGGTACTTTATTAGTTTCATGTATAAAATATAAGCAAGGGTGTTTTATTAGCTTCTTAGTTTAATGTTTGAAATGTAAGCAAGGCTGTTTTATTAGCTACTAAGTTTAATGTTTGAAATGTAAGCAAAGCTGTTGTATTATATACAGCTTTTAAAATGTTTCATTAACTTTTTTCTGATGTTAATGTCTAAATGATGAAACAGACTGGTGAATAAAGCTGTAACTATCATTTGATATTGCTTCATCTTCAGTCAAGTTATCTCTTTTTTTTCTTTTGAGATTATAAAGAAATTACCCTTGTTGTGTTTGAAAAATTTCAAAAGCAAATTATTCTTTTCTCTTATCATAATCATACATCTTTTTATTGAACATGTAAAGATTGACAGAATACTACTGACATTTTTATTTAGGACATGCCATGCCAATTAGGTCACTAACATTTTCACCTGATTCCCAGATGTTAGTGACAGCTTCTGATGACTGTCATATTAAAATTTATGATGTGTAAGTAGAAATATTTTGGGTACTTTGATATATTGATTTTTCAGTACTGGTTTGCTTAAAGTTTAGAATATGTATGCAGTAACATTAAAATAATGCTTGAAAATTTACAATTTGAAAAGAAATGGTGTCACCAAGCTCTGTCAGTTTTCAAATTACTTATCCCCAAATTGTAAGCTTTCAAGTACAGTTTTTGATATACTTGTAAAATCTCTATTTTAATTCATTAACCTATTACTTTCGTATTAGTGTATATGCTTAAAATAATAATGTTTTTTTACATGATGAAAATATTGACTGCTGGGCTGGTAATTAATAACTGTATTTTTTTTTGTTTGTATAAAAGTGATCATTATTGACTAAATGTTAAAATTTGTAATACTTTTGGCTGTATGTGTGTAATGATTTTATGGTTTCCTCAAATAGTGGATTTTAATTCTGTACTTTGCAATTTGCACATCAAATGGTTTCTACAGATAATTTTTTCAGTTTTAAAATTAAATCTTAGATAATAGATTCAGATGTTATATTTTTTTAGAGCTTTCTCACTTATGTGCCACATTCTGGGCTCAAATTTAGATGTAACATATGCCAGTCAAATTTCCCTGCCATAATCATCCAGCATGAGCATATTACAACTAACCAACAAAAGAACTTTAGATTTGATACTAATAAATGTTCTTTAAACTTTCAATGTGAAATAAGTACTTTCATTATTCAGAGGTAATGTTGGAATGGTTGCTGAAGATGCTTTTATCCTTTGAAGCTGCTTAGAATTCTTAAAACTATTATAGTATCATTATTGTTATAAATTAAAAAAAAAGCTATAATCTTTATCTTAATATAACATTAGCTATAAAAACTGGTACAGGTACACTACTGATTTTCTGGCACTCTTGGTTCCAGAGCCTTGCTGGGTTATCTGTTTTGCCGGACCAACAGAGGTCATGTAATAATAATTCAACAATACACCTCTGACCCATTAATTATACCCCTCTCGTGTCTCTAAAGCACCATGGACTGCTAGAAACTTAAATAAAACAAATATTAAATGTAAATTCAATGTGAATTAAATGATTAATAAAATACATTAGTACAGGTATAAATGATACAGGTTTATTAGTACAGTATAAATGAAAAATGTTTATAATTATTGTACTTACAAAGGATGTTGCAGTAGTACCACTTCCAAAGTGGCAAATTTTAGAATTTTACTGTTATTGTTATTTTCAAGTACGTTATATTTTGAATTTTCATACACTATTATCAACATTCTGCATTGTAAAAAAATTTAAAAAATTGAAACTAAATATTTGCATCTTGTTGAACTACATATTCTTGGCAACATTCATGAAAAAATTCAAGCAATTTGATACACTAGTTTAATATTTATAAGAAAATTTTCATGAGAGTGACATACCTACTTAAAATGTAAGTAGTCTGTTCTGAAAGAGTGCACACCACATGCAATGCTATCTGTGGCTGGCCAGTGAAGTAGTCTGGTGGTCGCTGGAATTTCAAGTGTGCTCTCATAATTTTGTCCAGATTAAAGGAGGTTCCAGACCACCAGTTGCCGGAAAATCGGTGGTGTACTGTAGATACAATCTAACAGTGCATTTATTTTACCTTACTTTACTTAACCCTTTCACAATGGGTGCCCTTTTAAATGCTTTTCCGTGCAGGTCACTGTGTTATATTCAAAATTAATTAAATGCTTTTACTCTCAATATATGTGAAAGACATTAATATTATAATGTATGTTATGATTCAAAGTTTTATTTTATCTAAGTTTTAAGTCCTTTATTTCAAAATAAACCTTTAAAAAACTACTTAAAACTTCAGATGTATTATCATGTGACCAATGAGCTATGAAAATTCTCTACTTTGGCTCAGTGTATCTTGGTAGTTGAGTAGAGATACGTTTAAATAATAAGATGCTTACATAACCAATTGATTCTCACATTTCAAAGTTCTCTGAATGAATATAGTTAAAACAAGTAAGACATTTTTTCAACCCCTGACAGGTGCCAAACCCACCTTCAACAGATTTGTTTCAGCTTTATAACCTACATGTAGATTTTACATACACATGTGTATAATCATTAGAAAAAGCTCATTTTAAACTGTAATCTAACAACAATTATTTTGAAATTGGTGCCCAGTTGTTGTCACAAGGTACATGGAACTAACTATAGTGTTGTTAGCTGCTTGATCGACTATAGTAATTACACTTGTTTCTTACCTAAATATGTTAAAGTTAGAGATACAGTTTAAATTTTGTTTAGGTCTTACTATTATATTTTAGTTATGTTTTAAAATGCATAATTAAAAGGTTTAAACATTTTTTAAATATACACATACTTTGTGTCCATTCTCAAGGCTTATGATATTATGTGGTGAACGAAAAATTTTGCAGAAAGGTTTTGCATATCTCCCAAAGACACTGTAACATGCTTTGAGAGCACTGTTGAATTGTGTCAAGATGAATAATGTGTGCTAAAGGACAAGAAAGGAAGATAAAACATTAAAAATTAACTACATGTAAAATAGAAAACACCTGAAATTTCAAATATAACCAAAAGAATATATTTTAAGATATTCCCACAAAAATTAAAAGATACATACTTTTTTCTATTTCCTACTTTTAATCATATCATTGCACATTGATGATAATAGCTAGAGTTAGTGATATGGTAGAGAAAATGAAAAAAAATATATATATATATAAACATATGCAAAAATATTTTGATTTTCATGTATGAGGTTCTAGAGGTTATGTAAATGAAATATGAAAACTATAAAATGAAGTATTTTTATTCTTAAAATAAAAATCGCCTTTCACACAATTTTTTTAATAGTTTGAATGCAAGTAACTACACTAGAAAAATAATAATATACTTTTACTAAAAACTTAATTATAATAATGTCTTTCTTTGTGTACAAGATCCTTATAAATTTTAAGAAAATCTTACCACTTTTGAAAGGCTATGCATGTATTGTTGTACAATTGAAATTCGTGACTTGATTTCCACAAATTGTACGATCCCGACATGAAAGGGTTGGTGTCCCACTATTAACATAAAAGATTCTTGAGAATTTATTTGTTGGAACCAAGCTAATATATTAGGCTTCTTTAGACTTGTGTAAACAGATCAATGTGGGAATAATTTTTTATATTAACGTTTTCTTTTCTATAGTCAACATGCAAACCTAGTGGGGACATTATCAGGACATGGGTCATGGGTCCTAAATGTGTCATTCTCTCCAGACAACATGCATTTTGTATCAAGGTAAGTAACATGTAATATACCTTTATGATGTAGTATCTTAAATAGTTCCAAAAAACAGGAGTTTTATACAGTATAAGAATTATAATATACTATGTTAAATAAATTACTTTGGTTGTTAGCCTTGCTTCCCACACATTTCCTCAGGTGAACTTAAAAGGAAGATATGTAAATTTTAGTCTGAAGAAATTTGTAATAAAATGTTGTCTGACCTGATAAGTGTTTGAAACAATTAAAAACTAATAATTATTCATCTGCCCAAGACTTCTATGGCTTCTTTATTGAGGTTGTCTATAACAACCAACTGCTGATTATCCTGGTTAACTTAATTTTTTTATTACATTGCTTCTTCCTTAAAGTTTTAATTCCACTTAACCATCAGAATCTATCATACATTTAGTGTTCAAAAATAATTAAATACAAAATGTCTGAGGTGGGGAAGGAATTTTATGGTATCTTGTATTAGATAAAAGGGGAAATGGGCATTAGGCTTGGGTTACTTTCAAGAGACAGGATGACTTCTGTGCATGTTTGACTATTATGATACTTCTACTACGTCTTAATGGCAAAGTATGAGTTCAGATAAAGTGTAATTGGAAATCACCTAAGTGTCCACTTGAGAATTAATTTGTATGTATTTAATTCTCCTGTTGCAGGCAAAATATTTAATATTTGTATCCCGAGTGAAAAGCCATTTGTTTCAGATGGAAACCATTTTCAATTTGTTTTCTCTGTGGATAGAATTAGAGTTGTATTGTTATATTTGTTGCTGGAAACTATTTCAAGATCATTTTATGTTCAGGTCATAAAACTAGAAAATATGTAGTGCACTGTATTAAAAAGTTTTTCTCTGTTTCAGTTCGTCAGATCATTCAGTGAAGGTTTGGGACATTTCTACAAGAGAGTGTGCCCACACATTTCAAGAGCACACTGACCAAGTATGGTGTGCCAAATACAACAGTAATGGTAGCAGAATTGTGTCAGTTTCAGATGACAAAACTATTGCTATATATGACTGTCCAGTTTGAACTGTTTCATGTTTTTTGAGTGGTATTGTGCTTAATGTGTGAATGGTCATTTAAAATATGATTTACCAGAACTAGAGAATAGTGTATTAAATCTATGTCAATCCAAGTTGTTGCTTCTGTAACGTATTTGTTCTTTACTATAAGGAACCCACAAATTGTATTCAAAAACATCTGCTTCAAGAACATAAGAAAAATCAGTTATATTTGTATATAAGCTAATAGTCAAAGTTAACATAAAAAAACTGTGGCATTGAACTAGTGTGGCTGTTTTTTTATCATTACACATATCCATGTACATTTTGAAAACTAAACTAAATTATAGTAAATATATTTACATTTGGTGAAGTTTGGCTGCTAAATTTATTTAAAAGTATTTGTAAATTCTTATTCTTTGAAAAACCAATTACCATGTACTAAGTAAAACATAAGTTAATACTGAGGCAAGGTATGGTTTCTGTCTGGAAGTGAAACATTGTAAAACAAGGTCAATCAGAGAAATTGCATACCCTTACCAAACTGTTCCATAATACTGAGGCAAGGTATGGTTTCTGTCTGGAAGTGAAACATTGTAAAAGATCATTCTAGATCTGAGAAGGATTTTCTCGGTTTTCAAAGGTTAAATTTGATGTTATCCAATATAAACTTATGCAATCTCTAAAAGGAGCAGCTGGGTGAGAGTATGCAATTTCTCTGATTGCCCTTGTTTTACAATGGTTCACTTCCAGACAGAAACCATACCTTGCCTCAGTATTATGGAACAGTTTGGTAAGGGTATGCAATTTCTCTGATTGACCTTGTTTCAGACACAACATCAGTCAATCTGAGCACATGAACAGAGTAGTAAGGAAGAAGAATATTAATATTTTACAATTTCTTCTGTACAGTTACTCATAAAAGATTTTTCAAAAGCATTCTTGATGAAAGTTCAAGGTCACTCATAAAATGGTACGAGTTAGAGTTTTGAAATGTTAGAGCCGAGTAGAAGTAAAATAATGTGAAGTAATACAGTCCTTGAAAACGTTTAGTTATATAATAGTGTTTCATATACAAATTTCCAAATATTTAGTCTTGTTATATTTACTCTCACCCCAGGGGTAAGAGTATTGCAACTGGGTCCATATGTGCATGTCTCATCTATGTTTATGCACATATATTTCGAAAACTAATAGACCGACATATACAAAACTTTTACATAAGATGGGAAGTCAGTATGGGATAGTCCTACCCAAATCCCAGATTCTAAGTCACTTTGAAGCATTTTTTTATAATGGGGAGATAGGGCTGTTTTGGGTTAATAACTCTGTAAAGTGTGATTGGATTTTGTAACAAATATCAAGGGCATATTAAGGTTGAGACTCCTTGTCACGGTACAAAAAATGTTCCACATTGTCGGCTATACAGAATGTTTACTATAATTTTAAATTCATTTTGTATATCTTTACAAAAATTTGGCAAGCTTTTAACAAACATTACAGGTTTGTGTACAAAAAAAATCAGATTTTTTAATAAAGTATTTTACTAAAGGTCTGTCTGTACATTTCCAAAGACCTCGCTGAGTCAGTCTGAGTGAAAGGTGATTTTCTAGCTAAGAATAAAAGTACTTTTTTCATTCTAAGAATCATGTTGAAAATTACTGATCACCTCTAGTTTTTAAGTTATGATAGATTTATTCAAAATTTTCTTATATATCATGAAAATAACTTTTTGCTTATGCATTGAAGAATGTTGAAAACCAATACATAATAGCAATACCAGTTTAAAAAAGCAGTGAGTATAATATGATTATACTCTGAAAATACATTCAGGCTATGTTCAATACTTTTATCATGGTATTTTTTGTTACAAAATATCTGCTTGACTTGTGTATGTTCTCAGTTTCATGCTGTAAGAACCATCAGTAGTCTCCCATCATCATCATTGATACCACTGTTCCACTGTAGAAATATCTTGGTGGAAGCACTCGCCATGCTCAATGCACCATTTGGAAAGAAGTCTAAATGGGAGCGTAAGAAGTGCATCTTTAGTGACATCCTAGACCTCATTTTCCTGTAGTTCTCGAGCATATCATCAATCATCACAGCATAGTTTTCAGCTCCATGATCTCCTAAGAAGTTTTTGACAATCAGTTTGAATAATTTACAGGCAGCAAGTTCTTTCTGATTGAGAACTGTTTCAAAATCATTATCCGTTGGCACTTCCCGAATCTGTGGTCCAACAAAGATACCTCCTTTCATTTTTGCTTCACTGATTTTTGGAAACTTGTCAGACAGATATCTGAAACAATTACAATCTTTGTTCATTCCTTTTACAAAATTCTTCATGAGTCCCAGTTTAACATTAAGTGAGGGTAGAAACACAGTTTGAGTATTCACCAAAGGTTGATATTCTATACTCTGTTTCCCTATGTAATTTTCTCACAATGGCCATTCCTTCTTTTTGAAATGATTTTTATCATCTCTGCTGTCCCAGACACACAAAAAGCAACAATATTTGGTATACCCACTCTGCAGGAGTGCAATAACTTTTAGATCATCACATATGTTCCACCTATGGTGATCATATGTGATGACCTCAAGTATAACCTACATGCTTTGATAAGTTTTTTCATTCACAGCATGAGCAACAGGCATTGATAGCTTAGTGTTCCCATTGTGCGAGAGTACAGCTTTCAGATAAACTTTAGATGAGTTGATAAAAAGTCTCCATTCTTGAGGATGATGTTAAGTACCTAATTCTTCCATTAGTGTGTCAAAATTTTTACAGAAACACAAAGTATCTTGCATGCTGTAGTGAGAAGCAAGACTTTCTTGGTGACTTAAGTAAACTGAAACTCTTGATAATAATAAATTCCACTGCTGTAAATGAGAGCCAAAAAGTTCCCCATGCTGTTTGATAGAGACAAGTCATGAATCAGATCATTTAGCTCTTCTTGTGTGATCAGATGAGGCAGTTTATGTTGAGGTGCCACGGGAATAGAATTACTAGAAGATGAAGCTGTGCCATATATGGGCTTTCATTTTTAAAGTTCCCACTTGAACTGGTAAGGAGTATTTAAAAGTGTTGTGGCACTCTCCATCCACCAAAGCACTTACTGAACAATGGGTCAATTATTTTTTTCTTTTTATCGTCAGTATTCCTCACGATGTCGGTAAAATCCCATATACAGCATGGCCGCAGTCAATTGGTTCAGTATGTAAATATTTAAGCAAAAACAAAAATTTATAGCTATACTTTACCTTTACTGAAAAAATGATTATCTCACATTCAAATATTGCTTGAAGTAAAAAAAGTTTAATCAAATCAGTGAATGCTGAATCTTGTTTATTTAAATGAACCTTAGAATAAAAAAATGTAAGATGGGACTTTGTAATAATCAAGAACTGAAATTTCTAATTCAAAAAATCAGCAAAAAACGAACTTTTTTAGTATGGTACATTTATCATGCCAAAATAACAATATTATGGTAAAAGTATGTAATAAAAACAAAGAAAATTACCAAATAAATTTTAAATAATTTATTTCCGTTTTTATTATCAACAAAGTGGTACCAAAGGTCACTTTATTAACATAGTGTGCTACATACACCAAAAAAATAATATCATTAGCATTATTTTGTGAAAAATAAATAACATGAAATAAGTTTTAAACTCTAATTTCTCTATGTTATACTGTCTTTATTTATAGAATAATTTAGGTAATACAACACACATTGTAACAAAATTTATACTTTTCTAAAAATATAGCAGAGAAATGAAGGATCACCGTGATAAATCTTCTGGCATTTCTATGTATGGTGTATTCTTCTCTAAACGTACATCCTGTCGTAGCTTTAACTCTGAAAAGCAAACATTTTAACAAACCCTAATTAATAATTTGTAAGGGGTTTTAGGAATGTACATTACACTTCATATGCATGCAGTTTTGAAACACTTTTCTTTTATCTAAAATACTCGACATCTGGAGAGATGACTACAATTTCAGAACTACCATAAATTAACATACATAGACTAGAAACACAAAATCCCAATAATTTATATACATATTTCTCATTGTCAACAAATTTTTTTTTTTTACATTTAGAAATTATTTAGAAACATTCACACTGTTAAAAACTTCTTTTTGAGATAGAAATATACAATTAGAAAATCTGAAATAATTTTCATTTGTTCTTTTTTGAAAAGTGCAAAGCTGCACAATAAATTATCTGCACACTGTTCACTATGGGGAATTGAACCCTCAATTTTAGCATTGTAAGTATGAAAACTTATCGCTTACCCACTGGGGACCTGAAATAGTTAAGACAACACCAAACTGATGATTTGTGTAGTGATAAAGTTGTTTTGAACAATATAAAAAAAATTATTATTGTAGCTTTTAATAATTAGTACACGTTATCTAATAATACAGTTGGGCAAACCATTGCAAGTCATTCAATAATTTCAGGCCTCATAATATAAATCTGATCATGCATGTTTAAACCTAAGATTTTCATGTCAACAAATAACCAACAAACAAACTTATATGTTAGAGAAATCACACCTAATGCACTACTGTAAATGGTGCTATATTACTTAATAAAATTGGTTATGTCAGTGAAGAACAGAGTATTAGAATACAATTTTTGAAAACATCACTTCCAATGAACATGCAATGACAGTGGCTTTTACATGGAAATGAATATATAAGAGCTAAAGTGTTATTACTTTGCTAGATTCGTTGTTATAGCATACTTTATATATATCATTGTTGACAAAGACGATCATTATAAGTTGAACTAGTATAATGATATATGTTTTCTTTTACCTAAGTATGTTTGAAAACTTGCAGTTTGCCATTACTCTCTTTTAATAATAACACTTTCTATTACCTAGATAGTAGTATTTCAGGGGTCAATAATAGCAGTCTTTTAAAAGAGATCTTTCTTCTTTTTCATTTCCATGAGATAACTATAACTGAAGTATTGCCTTAGTCATCACAATATCATAAGTATGTTGATATTTTTCCCTATCATTAAATACATTAGTTTTTAAAAATCATCGTAAACATGAGCAAGGCTATCCATTTGCTTTCTTTAATATATTGGTAGAAAAAACTGAGTAAGTTTAGATTTATTTAACGAAGACTTTTCATGTCTTTATTCCAATTTTGATAATTTTATTCATGTAGTCTTTTAGAATAAACAACCCAAGTCCATAATAAATTATGCTTAATTATGCAAGTACATATGATACAAAAGTTACTTTAAAGCTTATAAAGATCAAAACTTTGAAACACTTTTAAAGGTATTTTCATGGGTTCAACAAGTATGTTCAATCGGACTTTTGTTTTCTCCACAGTTGAAAGCTGACAAAGTTTCCTTCAGAACAAGTTTTAACCATTATAAAATATATGAAATTCTAAACGTATATTGTAAGATAGCAAATTCTATTTTTCGAAGGTTATGATTTTGTTTATCATTCATTTATTATTTCCTTCTATTGTTTAGTTTACCTATGAACTTTTAGTTGGATTAAAACACTAACCTTCTAGCTAATCATTTGTACTTTGAGTATATATATATATGCAAGATGAAACTGACACCACGTTCCCTAGCACTGATGTACAGATACTATTAATTTTGTAAATTTATGATCACATGATGTTGTACTCTTGTGACCTACTAAGTGAATACATATCCTGCCAAAAGCTTCACTAAGAGAGAGAGAGTCACGAGATAGTTAGTGAATTATTGCTGTTTATCACTTGATATTGTTGTTAATATTGAAAGGTATTTTTGTGTTGCTGTATTTTTGGAAATTAGGTTTTTTTTCTTTCTGGTTCTTTTTCCTGATTCCATTATTTGAAATAATATTGATATTTATAATATACTGTTCACTAACATTAGTGCTAAGTCCTGGCCAGGCACGTGTTTATTAACTGTGTTTTGGTAAGTGTTAAATTTATTTCTAAGTGTTGTTATAGTTGAATAAATTGATTTTTGTTGTTGAAACCTGATTATGGCAGATTGTTTATTTTAGACCTTTACATACAAAGAAATATTTCATGGATTTCTTTTTACTGACCCTTACATTTTTATATTTTTGTCAATGTCCAATAAAAATAAAATATGCAGTCATTATTCTTATTTTTGATATGTCTATTGATATCTTCAAGGGAAATGAGGAAACTGGTGATTGTTTTTGATTAAAATCTTCAATTATGAAAAAGCTTGTAGGCTAAGTGCTTTCTTAGCCTCATCTTACAATGACACAATCCTTACTTACTGTGTGTTTTAACAACAACAACAACATAAATTTAATAAATACACAAGGAATTTCTTTTAAATTTACAAGAACTAAAAGAAGACAATACAATTTATTATAATATCTTACCATAACGACCTTGTTTATTAAGTTGAAGTTGAACTACTTTTTCGCGGAGAAGCATTTCACAATCCCACCCTATCTTCAATTGCTGCAAATAAGAAACACTAGACATTGACTGCAGGTATAGTTTTTCTTTATTTCCAAGATTTATATGGATCAATAACGAAGATCTGCATTAATAAAAATACACACATGCACAAAAACACAGAGCATAAGAAAAACATAATTGTCTCAATACTTCTACCCCCTCTTCCCCCCCAAAAAAGAAGAAAGGTTTTGAAAGTTATGGTCAACATTATGTAGATACCATACGTATGGAACTTTAAGTCACTCAATCAATATAAAAACAACACATATTATAAACATAACTAAAAATTAATATTAAATATCAAGATTTATTATAAAGACAAATATGTAAATGTGCTATTTATTTGACCAGAATAATACAGTCTGCTTCAGGTAGATTCCAATAACATATTTGAAAAATATGGCCTAAATGTACAAAGGAAAGTAAATAACACAAATGAAAAATAAACCAGTAATTTTATTCACAGTGCAAATCTTAACCTACTAGCTGGCTTTATATTCTGTTGTGTGACTTTTCATGGCTGTTGATGTGGAGAGCAGGATTAAAACATCTACACCAGAAGAATTCAACATGGCTCAGTGGCTTCGTGCTTTGAACTTATAGTTGGATGGTTGTAAGCTCAAGGATGGCCCTCATTATATTATTGTGTCCTTGAGCAAGAAACTTTACCCCACTTGTTCCAGTCTATCCAACTGTTAGCTGGGAGTGGGAGTTAACCTTTCAGATATGCAATTTAGAACACAAAATAATGACACAAAGAACACAATGTCGTATAAGTATTATACTTTAGCAGAAAACCAATTAAATTATAATAGTAATTGGTTTTCTACTAAAGTATAAATGCCTTAAAATACTTCACTTATCTGGTAGATGTGAACTTGGAGATAGCAACAATGAAAGTGAATGAGTGAAACACTGTCAGGAGAAAAAGTTAGCTTTGCACTGAAATCAGTAAAATATTTTCTTTCTCTTGGTTATAAATACTCTAAGGGCAAATAACCATTTTGTGAAAGGAGGGGCATGGCAAGTGGGTATGACTTTCTGGTTTAAATCTCCATAAAAAAAGAAGATTGGTGAATATAAAATTAGAATATGTATCAGTAATACTTATACTATAAATGTGTAATTCGTGTTAAACTTAGGACATCATATAGGGGTGGAGAGAAAATAAAAAAAATGGGCAGTTTGAAGTAAACACATGCCATACAATACAAAGTGAAAATTGAGAATTTCTTTAAATATTTCATTTGAAATTAAGAGATCATGTAGAATATTAAAATTCATTTATTAACTATGTTTTGTTATTTTCAATAAAGTATATTAATGAAATTTTGAATTAATTCTGTAAAAAGTTGTGATATGCACTTTGTTGCCCACCTGTAGACACAGAGTTGAAGGTTTTTAAATAATTTTTCCTGCCCTTTATTAAATTCAGTATAGATTTCATTGTGTGTAAAAAAAAATTAGTTATGCATTAGAGTTTAATATATGCATAGTTTTGCTACAGAATAATTTTGGGGTTGTAAACACAGTACACAACAAAACATTGAGTGGCCTTCAAAAAACATTATATTTTAAAATAGAGCCACCATCATCATAAAGTAGCCAGGTGGACCCACCAGGCAGGTGCCAGTGAACCAGACTGTCATTGGTTATATATTTGGCTTACCAGAAGATGATAAATACAGGCAGAATAGCTGCATGGAAATTATGAAAAACTATCTGAATATATTCTATATTAGGTATAGAAGGGTATAACACAACAACATTAATGTTATCACATTTGAAAACCCCTACTCTCCAATGGTACAAAAATGTAAAATAAATGAGCATTTTCAGTAAGAGAAATTGCATATTCCTCTAAGATACAAAATTCCACTAAGTTCAATGATGTTTAATGTAACTTTCTAAAGCATAGAGATGTATAAAGTAAATATTTATTCACCAATGAGCATTTTAAACATTTAGTTTTATAATCTTCTTTCCTGTACTTGGTTTCACTTTCAAAGTTCACAGAGTGCTTGTGATTTCTGTGATTTAGTGCAGTACACTCAGCATGCTACATATAACACTGCATGAACTGTGAACCACAGCATTTAACTTTATTGTCAACAATGAGTCATACTATACAGGAAACATTACTACCCCCTTTTGAAATAGCTCAATCATTTACATAGATGGTTCGACAGAACTAAAAGTGCTAAAATGAGTGGCTGGTCCAAACCCAAACCATGATACTGCAACCATATCAAGATGTCTTGCATTTCTAATTTTGTTTCATTTTGGGTTCTTCAGTACTCTTAGATGTACAAAAGTGCTAAAATTCACCTTACACTAATGTCAAGTTAAGTTTACAGTTTATAATATGATAGTTTAATTTTCTTGCAAAACATAAAAACTAAGAAAAAACCTAGATATATTTTTATTAATATTACTTTGTTGTATAATTTTTGACTTTGGGACACAAGTAGTTTTCATAGACCAGCCCTCTCATTTTTATTAGTTTCTTCTATATGATACCAGTAACACTGAGTGAATATAATCAATTTTACAAAGCTATACGTAACATCACCCAGTCTTCAGATCTGTAAAATTGTTGCATATTTTAATAATATTCACACATTAATATACACAAACTAAAAAAATATTATGTAGAGCATTACTTATAAATGAAGTTACCAAGGCTGATGTGATGTGCTTTGCCAACATGTGCAAATGCTAATACTGCCCACACCCCAATAAATTTTCCATCAATCATGTTATGTTCTAGCTATATGCTTTATCACTGAATGCTGATTATACCTGACAGGGAATTTTTCACTCAGCTAGGGAGTAGCTGGTGATCAGAACCAATTTCTTGGCATTTATTTTTGTTGTCATTAAGAACCTGCTGCCATGTACAAATGCACATGCTGCAACCCCAGTTGCACAGGCCATGGAAGTTACACGTAGCTATTAACTACTACCAGTAATTTTGTTTATGTAAAAAAAAATAACTACTTAAGTATTACATACTAACCTCTGTTATCTTATCATGATCTGATTCTGCTGCATTTTTTCTGAATTCTTCACCAATTTTTTGTCTAGCCGCTGTAATGGAGTACAATGTCATTCTCAGTATTAATATACTTTTGCATACAAGTTTCAAAAATAAATGGATATTGCTAGAATTAAATGAAAAAATTAAGTTTCTATCATAACAAGAATATTACTTATGATAATAGCATTAAATTCTGAGTCATTCTTTATGAAATTCTTCATTTTATGTAATTGTCATTGACATACAAATTGTTAAACCTAAATAAAAGTTAACTGTCGGTCATTGTTTAAAAACTATTACACCGAATGGCATTTACTGTTTAAAAAACCCATATCAAATAAAATTGTTAGACATTATTTATAAAACTATGTCATATTCAGCTATCAGTCACTATTTAAAGAACTCTAGATTACATTCAGCTATCAATTACTGTTTACAAAAATTATATAACATTTAGCTATCAATGTTTTGTTCACAAAATTATATTACACTTAGCTAACAATCACTGCTTATAAAGCTCTACATTATATTCAGCTTTCTTTCACTGTTTACAAAACTATTACATTCAGCTATCAATCACTGTTTACAGAAGTAAAGCTGGGGGATTAGTGGAATTTGATAACTGATTAATCATTGGACTTATTATGCAATTACAATCAATTAATTGATTAGGTTAAACAACTTTGAATTAAAAATTATAACGAGAAATCATAATGACAATATTCTTGACACATTAATCAATTTAATGATAATTTTGATTATTCGAACTAATCACCCAGCTGTATACAGACTTCTACATTACATCAAGCTGTCACTTACAAATTACTTTTATTTTAGCTGTCAAAAATTACAGTTGACCTAACAAAGTTAAAAAAAACATTTAAAACTAGCAATCTAAATTAATTCACTGTCCATTTTAAGTTTACAAGCTAACAATGACCTACTTTTAATAAAATACATCCATTTAACACAACAATCAGCACTATAAGAAACACTTAATGTAAGATTTTGGTAATCATATATCAATCTTTGTCATGATTAATAGCCAATATGATTATTTAAGTCTAATTATTAACTAGTTTTTATCCTACATTTTGGTTGCTAATCTGCTGTTATCTTCTGGAAGTCCTGAGAGGGACCATTTTCTATGTTGGTGTTGTCTGAGATTTGATTCTGGGTCTTCTTGATGAAAGTCTGATGTGTTAGGTGACTGTATTGGCTATTAATCATAACAACGATTATAAGAAGCACTATGAGACCTTGATCAATTTTGTACCTTTATAGCTTTAATTTACTGATATTATATGTTTAGTTTCCATAAGATAACTAAGTTTATGCTGATTATAAAAAAGCAAAGGGTTAAAATTCCATAATAGCAAATAAAATTTGGTTTATAACATTATACAAATTGATGACCAAAACTGATGTCTCCTAATGTCTTTATGATGAAATGTCATTACACTTATAATTCTGCTGTATGTTCAAGGGGTTAAAAATAATCAATAAAAAATAGCCTATTTCTCAATTTAAACAGTATGACATGAACAGGATATGAATACTAAAAAATAAGACTTAAATAAATGATATAAAATCTTAAGAACTTAGGATTACAGTGTAAGCTTTTCACATGACGAAAAATACATTTACATGTAATAATGGTTTGACCAAACACAGTGTCAGTACCTTTGTAATGGATCATTCCCCAAGTTTGAAAAGTGATTATTTTCCACTCTAACAAATATTTAAAATTAATGTACCTACCTTCAAGAGCAAGTGAGTCTCCATGAAAAACACTTTTCCTTATTCGATGAAGAGCTCGAAAACAAGCTAAAACCTAAGAAAATAACACAAATAGTATATTAGTTCCATTTAGATAGATATAACATCAATGAAAAAACCTATATATTAACTAATTAAATTTTTGTAAAAAAAAGGTAAGTAAGTTGTAAGTTTCACAAATTTTATTTCTGTTTGCTGAGGAATAGAAATTTATCAATTAACATCAAATTTCATCATATATATATATATATATATATATATATATATA